AATGTTCTAACATTATCATTCGAACATATACAAAATCAGAGCTTCCCCTGGGAGTAACAGGAGATAGGGGAGGCTTCCCCCTGCCCCTCGGGCATTTATTCTCAGAGTGATGCAATGAGTGAATCAGCTTTACCAAGTACCAGCCACACACCTGGCATTGCGCTGGGTACATTCACATACCCAGTCTCCTTCAGTCCCATGACAGTTTCATTTCACAGATGAAGGAACTGTGGCTCAAAGAAGTGGCGGGAGCTCAGTCTTGGACTGACTCTAGGCTTCGTATTCTTGCAATTACCCACAGCTGCCATCCTCTGGCCAGGGCAGGGCAGAACTCACGACCCTCTCTCGGCAGCTCCAATCCCTCACTTTTCCAGCACCCTCAGGGGCAGAAAGCCAGCCCTCCAGGATTGCAGGGGGCAAGTCTGAGCCATGGGAATATTAAGCTCACAGAAGGAGCAGGCTGGCTGTTAGACCTGAGAGGCACCAGCTCACTGCCAGCAGGCCCTCAATACCCATCATATTCCAAGCCTCCTCCCTGCTGGCTGCTCCCTGCTCCCAGACTGGCTGGGAGGATGTGCTCAGAGTCAAGTTGCCTCAGTTAGAAGCCCAGCTTCTCCGCTCTTAAGCTTGGGCACTGACTTCAAACTTTAACTTTTAGTTTCTTCACTGCTAAATGGGTTTAAAATGATATCTCCCTCATGTTATTATAAGAATTGAATGTATGTCTACATCTTTTAAGCTTGGAACATAATAATCCTTAAATATTTAGTATTGTCATCATTATTTTCATTATTGCTTTATTACTGCCAAATATCTGTGTCCTCCCAAAATTCACGTGTTGAAGTCCTAATCTCACTGGGATGGTATTAGGAAGTGAGGCCTTTGGGAGATAATTAGGGATGGGGCCCTCGTGAATGGAATTTTAGTGACCTTATGAGAAGAAACATAAGTAACACGATGTCTCTCTCTGCTGTGTAGTAATACAGGAAGAAGACAGCCATCTAGAAAGCAGGGAGAGCTCACTCCAGGAACCAAATGAGCCAGCACCTTGATCTTGGACATCCAGCCTCCAGAACTGTGAGAAATAAATTTCTAATGTTTGAATATGAAAACACTAATTCGAAAAGAAATGTGCATGCCTATGTTTATTGCAGCATTATTTACAGTAGCCAAATTATGGAACCAACCCGTGTCCATTGATTGATGAATGGATAAAGAAGACGTGGCATATACATACAATGGAATGTTATTCCACCATGAAATAGAATGAAATCTTGCCACTTGCACTGACATGGATGGATCCAGAGAGTATAATGCTAAGTCAAATAAATCAGTCAGAGAAAGACAAATACCATATGCTTTCACTCATACGTGGAATTGAAGGAACAAAACAAACGAACACACTGACCAAAAAAAGACAAACCAAAAAACAAACTCTTAACCATAGAGAACAAACCTATGGTTACCAGAAGAGAGGTGGGGGGGAAGGGCGGGTGACGGGTGAAATCAGTGAAGGTGATTAAAGAATACGTTTATCGGGCACCTGGGTGGCTCAGTTGGTTAAGCGTCCTACTTTGCCTCAGGTCATGATCTCACATTCATGAGTTCGAGCCCCACATTGGGCTCTCTCCTCTTATCGCACAGTCTGCTTTAGATCCTCTGTTCCCTCCCTCTCTCTGCCCCTCCACCACTGGTTCTCTCTTTTTCTCAAAATAAATAAACTTCAAAGAGTGCACTTATCATGATGAGCACTGAGTCATGAATAGAATTGTTGAATCACTACATTGTGCACCTGAAACTAATATAACTGAATATACATACATATATATATATATGAATATAATATAACTGAAACTGTATGCCAACTATACTGGAATTACAGTTAAAAAAAAATTACTGTCATTTAAGGCATATAGTCTATGCTGTTTTGTTAAAGTAGCCCAAGGTAATTAAGGCAATCACTATGACGTTGCCTTAGTGGTGTTGTCCACTCTCATTATTTTGACCTCCACTTCTATATGGTCACTCCCCAATCTCTCCCTCTAGTTAATCCCCTCCTCAGAGTTGCCAGGAAAGGTCTGATTGAAATGGGAGCCAGCAGCCTGAACTGCAGCCCGTAGAGGTTGAGTCAGGCAGGGTGATCCTGACATCATCTTCAGTATGAATGTCCGAAAACTATCCACCAAATTTGTCAGACGGGGCTCTGAAGGATCAAAGCTTGCACTGAAATTTTTCTTTTCTGAGTTCAAAAGGGTGGAAAAAGCCAATACCAACACAAGAGATGTAGGAACTAAGTAAACAGTGAAATGGCAGCTGATGTGAGGAATGGGGCAGGGAAGGAGGAGCAGTGATAACAAGACAATTTGTTTCTCTCAGTCACCCAGGCTCCACAACTTGTCTCAGAATTGGCTATCGCCCTCACTTTCCCTTTCAATTCAGTCCACATGTCCTATTGATTCTAGTGCCACCAGGTGTTTTTGTATGAGCCCCTTCTCTTTCATTCTCACCCACCTGCCCCCACCATTTCATCTGTCGCCTTTGCCTACCTTGTGAACCATTACAATAGCCTGCGCTCAAGTTTCCCGAGGCAGTTGGCTCTACTGCCTGCTGCTGGTGGGGGCAGAGGGCGGGGGGAGGCTGTATAAAATACACTCTGAGAATTCCAGTTCTTCCTTTCAGACAAAAACTTTACAGATGCCTATTTTCTTACTGAATACAATCCACATGCCTTACCTTGTTCTCTGTTCACTAGCAAAGCTGAAATATTTATTGAGCACCCTCTCTGTTTTATACCATTGCAGAAGCTACGGTCCTTGAGCACCAGGCCACAGAATAGTAGGGGAAATCAGCAGGGACCAACAGTAAAGCATGCCAAGAAAAGGCAGATGGGACCTGCATGTCTGATCAGTGGTGCTCAGGTAGAGGTGGCTTCTCTTTTAAAATGCTCTCAGCATTGGCCCGCCTGGATGGCTCAGTAGGTTAAGCCCCTGACTCTTGGTTTCAGCTCAGCTCATGATCTCATGGTTCGTGAGCTCAAGCCCTGTATCAGCCTGACAGCCCAGAGCCTGCTTGGGATTCTCTCTCTCTGCCCCTCCCCCACTCATGTGTGTGCACTCCCTCAAAATAAATAAATAAACATTAAAAAAATAAAATGCTGTCAGTGTTATTTTATTGAGTCACCTTTGTTTAATCAAAAAAAAATCTCAGAATGGAGAGCTCTTGGGTGAGGTGTAGACAGAAAAAGAGAATGGTGTTGTGGCCACACCTGAAACACCGTCCGTAGTCAGGCAGGAATGGTTAGGACTATGTGTCATGCCAGGACATATTCTTATTCAATTTTCCTTCAAAATTCTCAGACAAACCCAAATCCTCAGCAGGGCATTATCAGTCTTTACAGGCTGCCCCAGGGGAGTGAAAAAAAGCCAATATCTGACTCTTTCACATACAGGATGGTGTTCTACCACCTCTAAGCTGTGTGTCTTCGGGCAAGTGACCCAAATTCTTTGAGCCACAGTCCTCTCTGAAAACTGAGATAACAATTCCTATTCCATAAAGTCCTAAGAGAGTCACACATGTAGAATTCCTTTGCCATTAGGGGAATGCTAGTAAATCAGGAAAACAGAACCAAACCAATGACCATGGAAGGGCTTCCTGATATCACCTTAATTTCCCAATTACAGGCAAAGTTCAACATCGTAAATAAAACTACTCATAAGCAACAGCACCTGGGGTCCTTTGCTTTCCAAGCCATCTCCTCTTTTTATCAAGACCTCTTTCTCCTTGATAGAGCTGCCTACAAATAATACCAACTCAGTCTCCAGATGCTTCTCTTCCTGATCCTTTCTCTATGAGATGGGAAATTGTCTCTGAATATAGAAATACACTATGTAAGTGCATATACACATTCTCGTCCCCTTTGGCAATAAAGACAGGGAAAAAAATGTGTTTTCCAAGATGTGGTCATAAGACTGTTTGGTAGAACCTTATAATCTCAGGCCCAAGAGGAAAAAAAAAAAAAAAACCAGCATAAAAAGGGAAATTTCAAACAGTGTTACAGAACCACAGCAGTAAAGAAGCTGTTTCCTGAACAACATAATCGCTAAACCACGTGACCTTTGCTGCCATGTGAAGAGCGAGAAATTCTCTAAACTAAATCAGTCAGAATGGCAAACCCAAGAGGCACCTCCTGACTGAGACCTCCAGCAGCCGGGCAGAGGGCCAGTCTGGGAAATCAAGCAGAATTGAAGTTCCCCTGAGAGATCAGTTAAGAGCAGAATGGGTAGGTGTTTATAAGTTTTGCCAAGGCTTCTCTTGCTGACAGGCTGCCTTCTCAGTTGAGTATTCCACTTCTGTTTTTTGTTTCTGCCTCTGTACCGTGGCCTTGCAAATACCATAATGTAATCACAGCACATATCTGTTCTCTGAGCCTAGACCCAAAAGGTAACTCCCAGTTCTGCGTGGATGTTAGAACTGAAGACAACACGGGCTCACGGCCTCCTGGTTCTCTAAGGCACTTCTTCTGAAACAGGGCATTTGGACTGAGCAGATCTGGGCCTGAGAGGCATCTGGGGAGAAGAGTAGGCGACCACTCTCTGGCCCTTTTTGCATCTGGCTGAGCTGGACTCAGATGCAATTCACAAGTCTTTGAGGCTCAGGTGTTACCAAGAAGTGGAATAAAGCAAAGTCCTCCATCCTGTCCCCCCTCCCCCATGGACCTAGTTGAGTCTCTGACTTTTTAGAATGCTGACTTGGAATGGATCCTACCCAAGATCAAATTTCAAGAAAGGGCTTAATGTGCCATAAGAGGAAAATAATTTTGGAGTCAATACCACAGCCTAAGACACAGAGGAGAAACTTGGATTTCAACGCAGTAACCCTCCTGACATGCAGGTGCCTTGAGGAAATGGCTCTGGGTATAGTCAGGGTTCCAGCAGGAAACAGATGGCACATTCAAAAGGGGAAATTAAGGAGAAGTTAATGAAGGGACTATGTTCGAAGACATGGGAAGAGTTAAGGGAAAAGAAACGGTAAGGTCTCTGGGTTGGGGAAGCAGCTACCACCCCCAGGCCTGACAGGTGAAGGGAGTGAGCCGTCACCAGAGCCTGAAGAGACGGGCAGCTTTGGGGGAGGTATGGACTTTAGCAAAGGAACCAGTGCCTGCCAACCTGCATCCTACAGGAGGCATCCTGGCGGGAAAAACCCTTCTCTATTTCTCTGCACTTGAGTCTCCTGCCAGCGCCTCCCATTGGCCGAACCCAACAGGAATCAAGAAAGCAAAGGAGCCTGCTCAGGTGATCCTTGAAGGAAACATAAAGGATTACCCAAGGCACAGAGCAGGGGAGAGGAGTGGAGAGTGGCACATGGAGGACATGCAGCATCGTTCTCCTTTCTCCCCAAGATCCTGGCAGACTGGGGCAATCGGAGAAGCTACGCTGAGGCCAACCCAAGTGACCTGAAGAGGCATATCCCCAAGACATTCTCTGGGTCTGTTTTGTCTTGCTTGGCAGCCCCCCATAAGGTTTACGAGTTTCTGGTTCTACTAATAGCAAGTAGGACATTTTGCAACATAATAGCCTGTGCAGAGGAGGCAGTGAAAGCTATGGCATCAAGGCCACTGGGGCCAGCAGCACTGGATGATACGTTGGCGGCACCCCTGTAGGATGTTTGGAGGCTGACAGTTTCTGACGTAGCCTCAAAGGGCACATGCAAAATCCCAGCTCCCCAGAAAGGACATCCTCAGAGCCGTGAGGATGACTGACATGTAAGCACCCCGGGGGAACCGCAAACATTCCATGGGAATGGAGCTCAGCAAAGTTCTTCTGTAAAGAGCCATGCTGTGAATATTTTAGACTTTGTGACCTATATGTTTCCCATTGCAACTACTCAATTCTGTTGTCGCAGTACAAAAAAACAAAAAAAAAAAAACAAAAAAACAAAAAAACCCAAAAAACCAGCCACTGATAAGAAAACAAATGAACATGGCTGCGTTCTAACAAAACGTTACAAAAATAGGTGGCAGCCTGGATCTTACCTAGGAGTAGTAGTTTGCTGACTACTGGCTTAAGACATTGAAATTTAGGGTGTTGATATAATTCTGCCCTCATTTGTACCCACAAGATGGTAAGGCTGGGGTCATATCTGTTACATGTGTTGATGTTCCTGATTTATACTAAATTGTAAGGCACGTGAAAACAGGAGCCAAGTTTTATTGTTATGAATTACATGAATGAATGAATGAATGAATGTCCACAGAAGGGATACTATAATTTGCAGTTTCATTTACAGTTCTTAAGATAAACCTGATACCTTGTTCATATATTTAAAATATTGAATGATCAGAAGTTGTGTAGAGATCGACCCTCTGTATGGGTCCTAAATTTCTTATAAAATTGAAACACATTTTCATGCACTAACTGGTGCTGCTTTACTTTAAATGAAGGTAGAATAGAATAGTTAAGACAAACAACTATTGACAGTAGCAAAGTAAACAGGATCCTAATTAGCATGTTTGTTAATGAGACTCCCTGGATGGGGGATTAACCATACACATGTTTTAGGTGTTTATTCCTAACATATGCTCAACTTATAGGGTTGGGTATTTGGTGCCTTATTTATCATACATGGCCTTCAAAAACTCCAGGAAAAAAAAGAAACACCTTGCAACTCTGTTTTTATGATTTTGCATAAGTTGTGGTTCTATCTCCCCCCACCCCCCACCCCAGAATGTTTGCAATGCACCTGCTATCATTAGCACTCTCATGAAGGATAACTTTGGGACTGCCTATGAGACATTAGTCTTAGCACCCAAGCACTAATGCAGATCCAGTGACTCAAGGACTGGAGCACCTGGGTGGCTCAGTAGGTTTGAGTATCTGGCTCAGGTCATGATGCAGTTTGTGGGATCAAGCCCCGCATCAAGCTCTGCACTGACATCACAGAGGCTGCTTAGGATTATTTCTCTCCCTGTCTGTCTCTCTCTGTCTCTGCCCCTTCCGCACTCATATCTCTCTCTCTCTCTCTCTCTCTCAAAATAAGTAAATAAATGTTCAAAAAAAAAAAAAAAAAGACTCAAGGACTAGATACACCCAGCTGCAGTGAGGCAGATGAGAGCTGGAGAAAAGAATACCAGCTTATGTAATATAACATTTGACCACCACCACCCCTTTCCAAATGAAAAGCAAAAGCGAGGGGAAAATGTACCTCTGCCTTCCAGATAGTCTCCTCTATGATGGAAGGAATATAGCAACAAAGAACAGGAAAAGTGCTTCTGCTTTTTCCTTGGGTAAACAGTAGTTTCCAGTCATTTGACCATAAAATCTTGAAATAAGGGAGTTCCTAGCTTTCCCTAGCAGAATCTTTTGGTGACGGTGGAGTTTAGGGGGTACAAAGACTCTAGGAAATGTGTTTCAGCTTGAGTGGCTGGAAATATCTGTGAACAAGCATCAAAAAGAGATATGACCTCTATTTCTGGGTCACTGAATTCATTCAATAAATATTTATTGAGCATTCACCAGTAGCCAGCAGACATGAATCCAAATCTGGATGCTGCTACTTCATCCTGTCCTTTGTTGGGCCTCCATGCAAACCATTTTACAAGCTTTTTAGAAGGTATATATTTGATACCTGCTGTGTAGTCATCATGGAATCAGAAACAAGGCCCCTGGACACTGACACTCTTCTGTCTGTGTTTGTGCCATGTTCGTCAGGACTCACCTTGACATAGCTAGCCAAGAGAATGAAAAAAAAAAAAAAGGTTTTGTAGTTTATTGATGGGCAATGGATAAACTGCTATTCTTATTTTTTTGGTGAAAGCAAAAAAATTTTTGCTTAATTTATTTCAATCTAAGTAAAATATGAATTTCATATTTTTTATTTTTTAAAAGGGCAATTTTTAGTTCTTCATAAAACCTGTGTTCTGAGTATTCCTACTTTGATAAATTATAAAATGACTTCCTCTCCTCTTACCTTTTCCTGCTGAGACCTGGCTCTTCCCAGGTCTTGGCTTTCTGCCCTTACAACCTCTGGCGTATGTGTATTATACTCAGGGCACCAAGCAGAGGTCAACAAGTTACTGTAAAAGACTAGGCCATGGAAAGAAATCTTTACTGACTTTCAATAAGCTTTGGCCTAAAAGCACATTGTTTCATTTCATATTGGGAGGGACAAGCTCTTGTACATCAGCCTATGTATGGGCAATACATCGAAGAAATGAGCCAGACTATAGAAATGTTAAATTGCTTGCATGCAAGTATATTTAAAACTCTATGAAATGAAAAAGTACAATCCTCATTCTTCCATCCCAAGACATTCTGCTAAAACTAATTCTTATGAGCAGTATGACAAGAATACACATCATGAAAATACTGGAATTGTAGAATAAATAATGAATGCAACTGGAGTTCATAGATGACAGTTACATATTGAGAGACTTAAATCAATCACTTTCCTGTTGTTTCTGAATTTCTCATTCACATTGAAAAACGAATTGTTTAGTTCTAAAGAAGCTGTAAATTTAAATAGAAGACATATTCAGCTATAGATCTTGAGCCATCAATTGACAGCATTATTGACACCATCAGCCAGTGAATTAAAAGCTCTGTTAGTAAGAACAAGGCATATTTTCAATTCAGATTGACACTATTGAAGATATAGACATAACTGACATCTCTTCACTAAAACTGTACTAAGATATATCACAGGATCTGGGAAAGTGTCTGATACTTAGAGTAAGCATTAAGTCAAACACTGGAAAAAAAACACGTTCCAGACTGTCACAGATGTTCTCAGCGAAAGTGTGTAGGATGTTCAGCTGATGGAGAATTTGACATGAGGGGACTGTTTAATGAGTTAAATTGTGTTCTTTTAAAAAAATACACATCAGCCAGGTTTCTGTGTGGTGTGATTCTTTGTTTTGGATTTGCTAATAGGAGGTAAGACATCAATGTCAGTCCTCATTCAGTTATTATATCCTTGTGGGTCATCCTTAAGAGAATCATGTGGGAAGGGAGAGATTTTTAGATACTATTTTAAACTCTCTTTGGGGAAATGAGGCAGTGGGCTAAAGATATGGATTTGACAAAAGTGTTGAAGAAGTAGAGAGCTCAAAATCTGATTCTGTGATTTGCATGACAGCATTCTCATCTGAGTGTGTGGTAGAAACAGAAACACTGAATAATAGAGTCACACGGCTCAGAAATTGCTTGAGTTGGGTAGTAGGTTAGGGCACTAAAATACAGACCAGTGCTCAGGTGATCACTCAAGGGGCACAGATTGCATAAGCAAACTCAGCACATGGAATGTGACTCCTACTCACCAAAGAAAATTCCAGAATACTGAATTAGGAACATTAGCAGTAAAAGAACACTGGGTAGGTATAACCTCTAGCCCTCTTACCCTAGCTCCATTATTTTTCAGATAAAGAGACCATGGTCCGAAGAGGGAGACTGATTCCTCTGGTCATATTTTTTATTCATTCATTCACTTAGTAAGTGTCTAATGAGCACCTATGATGAGCCAGGTGCCATGCTAAATAGTAGGCAGGAGTAGATCCAGCTTTGTGGATCCTGAAGCTTATATAAGTTTAAGAAAAGAATGTAAAGTTAGGTCAAAAAGTGAATACTTATGTAGACTAATGGAAAAACACAAACAAAAAAAAATGCTGAAGCCAACAATCATCACAGACATTACAAAATCCAGAAAAGTAGCGTAACATTTTTGTTAATTAACTACCTATCACACCTCTATAATATCTTTCCCTAACAATTTTGGGCACATATTCCTCATCACCTTTCAATGACAATGATTTTAGAATATCATTTTCTGTAGACAGAAAAGGAAGTCTTCTCTTCAATATCATTAATCAAAATTTGTTTCTGATAATTGGCAATTTGAAGTGGTTTTTTTTTTTTTCAGCTTCACAACTAATTATAAGGAGTGTAATATAAAATTTCAGAATTGCCAGCAAATTTGGGAAAACATTTATCAAGGAGAGAACTCTTTTGATTCGCTTCCAGCAACAAGAACCAAACCCTTAGGATTTTATACAACTGATGATTGGAAGAATTTTTCATAGACTAACTTCAGGCACCATATAGTTCAAACCTTGTTTCTCTTCTACTCGCCCTGTGCCTCCCCTGCTTGGAGCCATAGGAATACACTCATTTCAAAGCACAACCTCTGGCCCTTCATCATTATATCCCAACACCAGACGAGTTGGCACAGGAGGCAGTGGGGTTATATCTGGAAGCTGTTCTTGGATTGGATCAGCAAGTAATAACTTAGCTATACCAAAAAAGTGAATGGGAGCCACAGAAATATATCTTATTAAACTAAAATTAAATATCTATGCAACTCAACCCTCTCTTAGCTGAATCCAAAACTCACTCCTGGCCACACCAACACGACTCACCACAAAGAGGGAGTGTGACAGAGGGGAAGTCAGTGGGGAAAGACCCGGCAGTGTAACTGATTGTGATTAAAATATCTAACTTATGCAACTTTTACCAAAATTAAATGGTCATGTGAACTTTTGTTAAAGGACTCTTCCCCCTACCCCCCAAGTAAAGGCACAATGCAAGTTAGGAACCTGAAGCCTAAAGTACACTAGCTTTATGGTAAATGCATCTAAGGTGGTAGGGATTCAATAATGAAAATCAGGTAGCTATTGGAAAACCATCTGTAAGGGTTAAATTGTAGTGTAAGGCTAACCTGTAGCCTTAAGAAATAACAGCTTTAACACTATAGGTTAAGAGATAACAGACTTATCCTATCAATCAAGGGATGAATTAGTGTTTGATTGGATTGGGGCAAGGGCCTGTTTGAACTGTTTCCACCTGGGAACTATTCCTTTGTTCTGCTCCCAGGTGATAATAAGATGATGTGGTAGGCTATAAAAGCTCTGTACCCAGCTGTTCGAGACGGCACTCTGGTCAAGAGTGTTGGTCCAGGTCGATCGGTTTGCCTTGCCTCTCATTGCAGTAAACTTTGTTGTGACTGTCACTGGTGCCTGTAGCATTCTGTTTCAGGAGTCGTGTGGATGCAACATTTGGTGCATTGGCCGGGAAAGTTAAAGGTCTGAAACAGGGTCCTTTCCTCGGATTGCTCCACCGACCCCTGGAAGGAGGATCGGGATTGGGAGAGGTAAGGATTGGGGCATGCAATTTGAATGATTCAAGAAGGGTCTGCTGGACGTGGCTATCGACCCAGAGTCGGGGTTCCTACCGGGATGCCGGTGGATCCCATTTCGTTTGGTTTTTGTTAGAAAGGATCCTATTTTCAGGTGGCTACCGTGGCCTACTGGCCTCGAGATCTCGAACTTGTGTTCTCTTCGTGTCTTAATTATTTTCTTTCTGTTGATTGTCTGGGCGTCCTTCTCAGTTTTGCCCATCTTTGTCATGGATCAAAATAAGAGTCCCCCCACCCCTCTGAGTCTCATACTAACCCATTTCCAGGACTATGGGAAAGCTGCCTCAAGGCCTTAAAACTGTTACACATTCTTTCCTAATCATGCCTGAATGCCCCTACCCTGGATTACTGGGTAGAGACCTATTACATAAACTGCTTCTTTGAGATTCACTGAAGGAGGTATGCCTGTTAAAGTCAGCCAGGATGGCCCAACAATAGTAATGGTGACTGTGCCACTTGGGAAAGAGGGCCTACGTACCCCGGGTACCCAATGAAAATGTTCACACAGTCAATCCCCTCCTTAAAAGTCTCTAGGCGGACTTTCCCCAGGTATGGGCTGAGACCAATCCACCTGGACTGGTGATTCATCAAGCCCCAATAATTGTGGAACTTAAGGCGTCCGTGTTTCCAGTAAGACTGAAACAATATCCTATGTCCTGGGAGGCTAGGCGGGGAATTGCTGTTTACATCAAGCATTTGCACGACTCGGGCATTCTGACCCCATGCAAGTCGCCATGGAATACTCCACTTCTCCCTATCCGAAAGTATAACTCATCCGATTTTCGGCCAGTTCAAGATCTGAGAGCAGTAAACGCCAGAGTAATGGATATTCATCCCACTGTACCCAACCCGTATACTCTCCTTAGTCTGCTTCCCCCTTCTCAGGTGTATTATACAGTTCTGGACTTAAAAGACGCCTTCTTTGCCATCCCACTGGCCCCACAGAGCCAGCCACTGTTTGCATTTGAATGGACCAATCCTGAAGAGGGAAAGCTGGACAGCTCACCTGGACGCAACTCCCCCAGGGATTCAAAAACTCCCCTACTCTTTTCAATGAAGCCCTGAACCAGGATTTAGAACCATTTTGAATCTCCAAACCACAGGTAACTCTGTTGCAGTATGTTGATGATATCTTGCTGGCAGCCCCCTCTCATTCAGAATGCCTGACTGCCACCAAGGAACTCTTGAGTCTTTTGCAAAAACTAGGATACCGAGTGTCAGCCAAAAAAGGGCAGACCTGCCACACTGCGGTCACTTATTTAGGTTACAACATTAAAAAAGGTAAGCGCTCTCTCGGTGAACAAAGAATTCATGCTATACTCGATATTCCTCAGCCTAAAACGCGCAAACAAGCTCGCAAGTTCCTGGGGGCAGCAGGCTACTGCAGACTATGGATACCTGCTTTGCTGAACTGGCAGTCCCTTTGTATGCCACTCTCAAGGGGTCTCCGGAGTCCCTCACATGGGAGGGAGACTCAAACTAAAGCCTTCCAAGCTTTACGAGAGGCTCTCATGACCCCACCGGCCTTGGCCCTGCCAGATCCCACTAAGCCATTCCATTTGTTTGTAGCTGAGAAAGGGGGAGTGGCTAAGGGAGTTCTGACTCAGCTCCTGGGAACTTGAGGCCGACCAGTGGCCTATTTATCCAAAAGGCTAGACCCAGTTGCTTCCAGATGGCCCACATGCATTCGACAGATAGCTGCCACCACACTACTAGTCAAAGATGCAGATAAACTAACCCTGGGACAGACGTTGTCTGTTACAGGGCCCCATGAAGTGGAGGCCTTACTGCGGGCTCCCCCAGAACGGTGGCTGTCAAATGCTTGGATTACCCAGTATCGAGCATTGCTGCTCGACCAGCCCCGGATACGTTTTTGTGCCCCCGCAGCCTTAAACCCAGCTACTTTGCTGCCCGAAGGACTAGGTCCCCCTCTATATTCTTGCCCAGAGACCTTAGCTACAGTTTCGTTCCTCCGCTCCGATCTCACGGACATTCCCCTACAGGATCCTGATATCAACATGTTTTCAGATGGCAGTAGTTTTGTGTTTCAAGGGCAAAGGTATGATGGTGCTGCGGTTAGGACAGAGGGCAAGGTTCTATGGCAACAGAGCCTTCCCCTGGGAACCTCAGCCCAGCGCGCAGAGCTCATCGCGCTAACTAAAGCTCTGAAATTCTGTAAAAACAAATCAGTTAATGTTTATACGGACAGCTGCTATGCCTTTGCAACTGCGCATGTTCACGGGTCCATCTATTAAGTGCGGCCTCCTCATGGCGAGGGCAAGGACATCAAAAATAAAGCGGAAATTCTAGACCTTGTAACAGCCATCTGGGAACCTGTGAGACTCGCGATCATTCACAGTCCAGGACATCAAAAAGGCAACACCCTAGAGGCAGTCGGAAACTGCCTGGCTGATGCGGCAGCCTGGGAAGCTGCCCTAACTGAAAGTAAAAGTGCTTTGGCACTACGGATCTTGATAGACGCCCTGCTTCCGCCGGAGCCCAATTATACTCTTAAAGATTTGGAGTGGATTTCAAGAAAAGGAAGAAGTATGATACCGGGACAAAAGTGGTTTCAGGATCCTGAAGATGCTCTCTTACCCAGCGGCGGCATGAGGCAGCATGGTCGTCTGCTCCTGAGGACTCCTCTGGGAAAAGCAAAGATGGTGGAATTGGCGCGGAAAAAGTTCAGGATGCAAGGGCTGGGAAAAGAGATCGAGGAGATGGTTGAAAGATGTGTAAGTTCTTTGGCCCAAAGTAAATCCAGGGTGCAAATAGAAGAAGGTTCAGGCTTAAAGAGATATAGGAACTGAGCCAGGCCAGTTTGGGAATGCATTCTGAAATTAAACCAGGGAAATACAGATACAAGTATCAGCTTGTTTTTGTGGATACCTTCTCCGGGTGGGTTGAGGCATTCCCCACTAAATCAGAAATGGCTCAGGTCACAGTTAAGAAATTTTTTTTTTCTTTAGCTGAAGGCCTTTATTTCTTTTTTTTTTTTTTTTTTTTATATATATGAGGCCATCAAATTGGTTTCCATACAACACCCAGTGCTCATCCCAAAGGTGCCTCCTCATGCCAATCACCCACCCTCTCCTCCCTCCACCCCCCCATCAACCCTTAGTTTGTTCTCAGTTCTCAACAGTCTCTTATGCTTTGGCTCTCTCCCACTCTAACCTCTTTTTTTTTTTTTTTTCCTTCCCTCCCCCATGGGTTCCTGTTAAGTTTCTCAGGATCACATAAGTGAGGCTCATATGGTATCTGTCTTTCTCTGTATGACATTTCATACACTCTCCAGTTCTATCCACGTTGCTACAAAAGGCCATATTTCATTTTTTCTCATTGCCACGTAGTATTCCATTGTGTATATAAACCACAATTTACAATGGCCCGGCCTTCACAGCACAGGTATTGCAGGGTCTAGCCAGAGCGTTGGAAATAGATTGGAAATTACATCATGCATATAGACCCCAGAGCTCCGGTCAAGTAGAAAGGATGAATTGGACTCTAAAGGAGACCTTAACCAAGTTGTCCCTTGAGACTGGCGAAAATTGGGTTGATGTTCTGCCTTTTGCCCTTTTGCGAGTGCGTTATACTCCATTTATCAAGGGATTATCCCCTTACAAAATCTTATTTGGCAGACCTCCACCTATCTTGCCAAGGCTAGGGGACGGCATAAAGAAATAGCTAGAACAGGACCACTTGTTGGCTTCACTCATGGCCCTGCATCTTGTACAAAAGGAAATAACTAAGGCCTTGAAAGAAGCCTTTGTCCATCCTCCTGTTCTTCCCCACCCCTTTCAACCAGGAGACTTAGTTTGGGTCAAGAGGCACAAGCCTGAAACCCTGGAGCCGCTCTGGAAAGGACCACATACCGTGATCCTGACTACACCAATGGCTGTGAAGACAGACGGTGTCCAAACCTGGATTCATCACTCTCAGGTTAAGAAAAACTGTGCGGAGGCAGAAACACCCAGGACCGATACGGGACCAGAGAACAAACAGCGATGGAAGGTCAAAAGGCACCCAGAGGATCCTTTGAAGATAAGACTGATGCGGGAATAATAATTGTCTGGGTTTGTATAAGCTTGGGAGACTGTGGAACTGCACCCCTTGTCTTTTTGGCCATACCAATGGGAACTCAGACATTGTCACACGGAAGGTGGTAACGTCTGATGCCTCTCGTACTATGCCTTGTTTCTTGTTCGACCTGTGTGACCTGGTAGGAGAAGGATGGGGGTTGTAAACCTGGGCAAGAGCTCTCAGGAACATTGGGGAGAACAATTGTGGATGTGGAAATAGGGCACTAGAGCGAAATTTGGCTAAGATGCAGATAGAAAAAAATGAATGTGAAGGAGAGGGTCAATACCACTGTGCCAAATGGGGTTGTGAGACGCTAGCCCACTGGTTAACAGGACAGGACCTTGACCCCCTAATTACTCTCCTTAGAACCCTGAACCCCCAATGTGAGGCCCAAGGAAAATGTAACCCAACACCAGCTCATCTATTTTCTCCTCATTCTGAGATACTGGGCACACTTGGGGCCTCCGAATGTATGATGTCATTATGCCCTTGGAGTTCGAGACCAATTTTAACCCTAGGGGACCTCCAAGGGCAGGGTTGGTGCATAGTGTCTCATGCCAACAATTCTGGAGCAATTAGAGACCCTCAGTTTAGTAAGGAACAATCTTAGAGCCAGGGAACGTGCCAGGGAGGCCAGCAATAATTGGTATCACTCTTGGTCCCCCTGGCTCACATCGCTGCTCACCACCATAGCTGGGCCACTGCTATTGTTACTTCTCAGGTTAACTATCAGCCCATGCATTATCAATTAGTTAGTACAGTATGTCAAGAGGTGAGTTGGTGAAATAAAAATTATGATGATTAGGTCCAACTATGTCCCCTTAGTTCCTAATGATGAATCAAGGGATTGATTCACGGACAAGAAAAGGGAAATGTAAGGGTTAAATTGTAGTGTAGGGCTAACCTGTAGCCTTAAGAAATAACAGCTTTGTTTTAACACTATAGGTTAAGAGATAACAGCCTTATCCTATCAATCAAGGGATGGATTAGTGTTTGATTGGATTGGGGCAAGGGTCTGTTTGAACTGTTGCCACCTGGGAACTATTCCTTTGTTCTGCTCCCAGGTGATAATAAGATGATGTGGTCGGCTATAAAAGCTCTGAACCTCGGCTGTTCGAGACCATACTCTGGTCAAGAGTGTTGGTCCCGATCTAGCAGTTTGCCTTGCCTCTCATTGCAATAAACTTTGTTGTGACTGTCACTGGTGCCTGTAGCATTCTGTTTCAGGAATTGTGTGGATGCAACACATCCAATGGCTTTCAGTCTAAACTGGTAGACCAGCAATTACCATACCATGTTTGCTCACATAGAGAAAGAGCATATGGACTACTTGTGAAAACACATAGAAGACACATCCCTCTTATACCTGTCAGGGAATAAGGGAAACTTTTGTTATCATTGAAAGTAGAACCCAGTCCCAGATTACTCTAGCCAACAGTCTAGGACCAGACAAAAAAAAAAAAAAAAAAAAAAAAAAAAAAAAAAAAAAAAATCCTTTCCAAAAGCTGTATACTATGCAGCTCAGCATTTTAGTTTATGACCCATATCATGGCTGCTAACAAAGGAGACAGTGAAACTAATTGATAAAGGGGTATTGCTAGGTTTTTTTTAATTATTTTTAACACTTATTCATTTTTGAGAGACAGAGTATAAGTGAGGGGAGGAGCAGAGAGAGGGAGACACAGAATCTGAAACAGGCTCCAGGCTCTGAGCTGTCAGCACAGAGCCCGACACAGGGCTTGAGCCCACAGACCACAAGATCATGACCTGAGCTGAAGTCGGCCGCTTAACCGACTGAGCCACCCAGGTGCCTCTTTATTTTTTTTTTTTATAGAGTTTTGAGAAGTAAAAAAAAATTTAAAAATTAAAAAACTAGAAAGATCAGCCTCCAAATTATTTCTCCTCTGCCAAGCAAATTTTCCAAGTATTATAAGTTAAAGATCAGCCTCTTGTCCCTAAAACAACTTAGGTTAACAGGGTTCTGGCAGGTACATATCTATAACCCATCTATTGCCACCACTGATTGAGAGCTCACCATCAGCAGGCTCTGGGCTGAGGACTTTACATGGTGTATTGCATTTCATCCATCTGACAGCTTTCATGTTTGGGATCCTTAGTACCTATCCAGATAGGGAAACCCAGAAGGAGTTTAAATGCTTTGCCCAAGACATACAGATAATAAGTAATGGAGTGGCATTTGTAGTAAAGACTTTCTGACTCCAAACTTTCTTTTTCAAAACTCCAGACTTTCTTACTTCTGCTTTGGACTTACTGTGTGTCAAGTACAGTTACCATCACTTAAGATACGGAGGTGAAGGGGCGCCTGGGTGGCGCAGTCGGTTAAGCGTCCGACTTCAGCCAGGTCACGATCTCGCGGTCCGTGAGTTCGAGCCCCGCATCAGGCTCTGGGCTGATGGCTCAGAGCCTGGAGCCTGTTTCCGATTTTGTGTCTCCCTCTCTCTCTTCCCCTCCCCCGTTCATGCTCTGTCTCTCTCTGTCCCAAAAATAAATAAACGTTGAAAAAAAAAATTAAAAAAAAAAAGATACGGAGGTGAAGGTAACATGGAGGAAAGACGAACAAGGAATGACAAAACCCCGAGGCTGTCATATGTCATGGGTAAGTGTGGTGAGAAGCTCTACTCACCCCCCAGCTACTGTCCCCCTCCACACTCATGCTGCTCTGTCACCTGCACTCCTTACTTGTTCCTTAAATACACAAATATTCGTACCTCAGGGCTTTTGCGTTTCCTTCTGGGTTTGCATGTAGTTTATCCCTCATATCACCTAGGTCTGTGCTCAGATATCTGCTTAGCTAATCTGCACCCCTTTCCACTATATTCTTCCCGTGTTTTATTTTTCTTCATATCATTTAGCATTATCTCTATGCATGAATGTTTACATACACATAACTCATTTATCTACCAGCGACTCCCCAGTTAGAATTTAAACTTCATGAAATCGGGGCTTTGTTTTATTGTCTATTTTATGTCCAGTGCTGGTAGGTGACCAGTAAACATTTGTGAATAAATGGATGTGTCTCCTGGATGGCCTGGTGTTATGAGTGGTTAATGAAATAGGCTGTCCCTGAAAAGTAGAACTAAAAGAAAAGTAAAAGTCCCTATATACTTGTTTTCCCACTAAAGGTCTGGATCTATAATCTGAGTTAAGGTTCCCAAAGAAGCCTCCTGCTTCTACGAGACAACATTCCTTTTCTTTGTCAGATAAACTTCTCTGTCTGTGAGAGGACCAGGTTTTAGCCCACAATTGGGATTCTGAGCAAACATTCAGTCCCCACAACAGACTTTTCATTCTTCGTCATGAGTCCCATGTAGATCTCCTTGTCAGCAAGTCTGACTCTCAAGACACACTTACTGTGTTTCTGGGATGCCCTTGGTGAAGTTTAGGGCATAACTTTATCTACTTTGCTATAAGATGATAGAGACGCATGCTACGTAAAAATGGCTAAAGTTATTCATATATGCCTAGTAGAAGTGGGACCATGGATTTACATGGCTCAAAAGCTGACTCTGAAACTATTGTTCCTTGGGCCCTATAATGACATCCTCTTGGTAATATCTCTTTTAATGAAGACGATGCATTCCAATGAAACCCTTAAGTGCAATAATTTATCAGAGGAGTAATGGCCTAGAAAGTCCCAGGGGGGTGATCCAGCTTTGGCAACTAGTGTGTTGCTTCTATTTCCCCCAAATTGCCTAAGAAAAAATAGATTCAGAGAAGCCAGTGTATACAGAAGCATCAGTGAGGCTCCATTCTCCAGGGTAGTCCTCAGCCTCATCCCTGCAACTGTAGTTGCCAAGAATTTGTGTAATTTAAAAACAAAACAAAACAAACACTCTTAATTTATTTTTTATTTTGTTATTTGTTTTTAGAAAGAGAGAGAGTGCACAAGCAGGGGAAGAGCAGAGGGAGAGGGTGAGAGAGAGAATCTCAAGCAGGGTCCACACTCAGCACGGAACCCATGGGATCATGACCCGAGCCGAAATCAAGAGTTGGGTGCTTACCTGACTGAGCCACCCAGGCGCCCCAACACTCTGCCCTTTAAAATAATGGTGTACTTCATAGGTACCAGATGCTCATGAAATCTTTATTGATAAAATCTCATTTCTTGCCATTCGGTGCCACTCTGAACACACAGTATGGTGGGAAAATGCATTCACATTCCAAAGACCTAGATAACAACTTAAAGGCTTAATTTTGGGTAAGCATTGCCATCACTACACACACATACAGAGGCTCGTCCATGCCCTGCAGTCGTCAGGCACGGCCTGTGCATGCTCTCTTTGATCCCTGAATAGCATCACATCTAGTGAAGATGATGGAGACCACCTTACCTGGGCTCTCCCTATTCTCATGACCAGGCAAGGACCCACCTTCTCCCCAGTCAGGCCAGGCCCTAAACTATTCTTGAGATAAAGTCCCTGCATCCTCAGATGTTGCCTTAACCACCGTCATCTCAAAACATAGACATCAAATGGAACTGAATCTTCAGCAAGTTCTTTGAAGATCAGAAACTCTCTAAGCCCACTCCAAACCTTGGTCAGAGGATCTTTGTATCCAACAGGCTGTAAATATCTCTTATTTATGGAGCCCTTTACTATGTGCTAGTGTGGTTGGAGCATAATGAGCAAAGGGTAGGGAAGTAGGAGGTGAGGTGAACACAGGTAGATAGGGCCCAGATCAAGAAAACACTTGTTTAGAGGGATTTGAGAGACCTGAGAGGTCCCCTTTCAATAGGTCACAAAGCTTGTTATTGACAAAGCTGGGACTCAAATCCAGGCCTACCTGCCCCCCTGGCCCACGCTTTTAACAATTATGATGTCCTAATTGCACTCATTACCATTGTGTCAACTTTCTTTAGAAATTTCCACTTTTTATTTATAATTTATTTTTTTTCCAGTCCATCTTCCCTTTTCTTAAATCCCTTCATGGGCAAATTTCTTAAAATATCCATCTATACCCAT